GCTTATGTAACGATGATCAAGAAGTGTTAATGTGCAGGTCTTTATAAAGTGACTGATTAAAATGGTAACTTTCCTATTTAAGAGAATTATTCCTCTTGTTTGTTCGCACATATCAGCTTACAGTAGTGACAGTAACTTATTTTTACTGTTTTTCACCCCCTTTCAACTGCAGTCAATCCAACTAATAGGGAGTAAGTTAGATTTATTTTTGTTCATTGTCACCAAATTGGAATTTGAATCAGTTATATGAAAACAATGAAACTGCACATATGACACCTGAGGGCACAGTTTGGCTTTCAGCCTGTATTATTGGAAATGTCTGTAATAATGAAAGAAACCCATGTTGGTGCTCAGAATTTGAGCTGCATTTCCAGCTCTGCGCTTTACAGTGCTAGGGAAATGACCTGTTAAACAGAGCATAATTGATATGGGGAACATTAAAGAACAATAAACAATGCTAACATTTACAATCACTTCGCACACCCCAAGTACACTTGAAAAATTTAAGGGAAATAGATCCATTGTTCTGACTCCCCCCTCCCCCCCCCGCCAAAAAAGCCCCCAGAAAATTTGAGGTCAGACTGTCAAATTATTATTTTGCTGTGTAAATTGAGGAGGAAAAGGAAGAGTAAGATGGAAATGGAGTCAATATTGAGACACAAAAGGAAAGAAAACGATAGAGGTGAAAGTTAGTATCAAGTGAGCATCCACTAGCATACATCTCATGGTGCTACAACAAATGTGGTTGAGAGAGCTATTATACATGGCAATGTCTTTGCAGTATCTTCCAGGAATGCGTGAAAAGTTCTAGGCCACTTTTCCACTGATTTCCTCTCCACTGTCCCCAATGTGAGGCTAACTTTTGATTTGCATTTTAATATTCGTGGATGTTCTTTCCAATGTCTGTGTGATGGAATGAATCTCTGTATACACACCCTACACGTTACTGTCATAATTGTAGTACAGTATATGCCTTGCTGAGGTGTCATTTGAAAACTAATAACTTACTTCTCAAGAGAATCATGGTGAAATGTATGTAATCGTGTTATAAATAAGACTGATTTAGTCATGAGTATTTTTAGTAAAAGTCATAGACAGGACACGGGTAATAAACAAAAAATCATGCCTGTGGTCTGTCCCTGACTTTTTCTATAGAAATGCCCTAAGACTTGGTAGTTCCTGGGGAGGAGGACGAGGCACTCAGGAGCTAACTGTCCCTATACATGCACTGTTCCAAGGCCCTAGGGACTCTTTTTGTGAAGGCCTGTGGGGTGGTACATGGTTGGATCCACTGTTGCTCTGGTGGCCCCAAGAGCAGGGGCACCAGCCACTGCTCAGGCAGCCTAGGACTAGCTGCCCAGGATCTGTTCCTGTGGCAGGCCGGCCACCCCAGCTTAAGGAGTGTCCCGACAGCTGCCACAGGACAAGCCACCATGGGATTGCATGTGGCTAGCCCTGGGAGTAGCTGCTTGGGTACTCCCTGGCTAGCTGCACCGGCCACTGCAGCTGCAAAGTTTTAGAGGCTGCAGAAAGTCATGAAATCCATGATTTCTGCAACAGCCACAACAGAATCGCAGCCTTAAGCATAAGTAAACTTAAGAATGTAAGCTGAAGTCCTGACTGAAGTATGTTTGCCACGAAGTAGGTAAACCTGTTTCTCAAAGACAAAAGACACTCTGGCCTGGTGTCATCAAGGTTGATGGGCCATCATCTGTCACATGGCTAGTTTTTGTTAAGGAAAGGAAACGGGAAGAAACATATTGCCTGCTAAAATGCAGATCTAACGCCTCTTTCTTATCTGACTCAACCTCCTTGCTCCCAGCTGGAATTTTATCTAGGGCAGTGATTAAAACCGACCAACTCCAACTTTCTTAACCACAAGATAGTTTTTTTTCAATTTAAGTGCAATGTAAGATCTACATCAGACCCAAATATCCTTGCCCCACTTCCTTCCTACCTCTTCTTTGAGGCCCTGCCCCTGCTCCACCCCTTTTCCAAGGCCTCACCCACTTTCACCAGACTTGAGTAGGGGATTGGAGTGCAGGCTCTGGTTTTGGGCCAAGGGGTTTAGCCAAGGGTAGGGGATTGGGGGATCAGGGTGCAAGCTCTGGGAAGGAGTTTGGGTGCAGGGGGGACTCACATCTGGGGCAGGAGGTTGGGTGCAGGAGGAGGTTCAGGGCTGGGACAGGGGTTCAGGAAGCAGGCTCTGGCGGGCACCATTTAACTGAGATGGCTTCCAGGTGGTGGAGCAGTGGGGTTAAGGCAGGCTTACTCCTGCCCTGGCCCTGCACCACTCCTGAAAGCAGCTGGCATGTACAGCAGTGGCTCCATGGCGCCATGTGCTGCCATTATCTACAGGCACTGAACCCACAGCTTCTACTGGCCACAGTTCCCTGTTACTGATCAATAGGAGCTATAGGAGTGGTGTCTGTAGGCAAGGACACCATGTGGAGACCCCTACTTTGCCTTTCTCAGGGGCTGCAGGGACATGCCAGTCACTTCCAGGAGCAGAAATTACCATAGGGATAATTACTCCAGCTACAACAGGGTAGGCATTTTAGAACTCACTACTCAGAGCATTAAATTTAAGCATAAGAAAGGGTGAATGAATTATGAAATGAGGAGCAAAACCCCCTGTGATTCTCTCCCATTCATCTCTTTATCTCTCTTTGTCTCTTTAAAAAAAACACACAATCCCTAAGATTACAAAAGAAATAGCTGTTAGGTCTTGGGGAGAATTGGACAATTTTCTATATTGGGATCTCCAAGAATTTGGTAAGTGGGTAAGGCCACACTCTTCCATGGTATTAATGGAGGAAGAGAGGGGTCTTGGACGGAGGTTGGGTGCAGAAGGAAGCTTGGAGTAGGGGATTAGAGTGAAGTAGAGGGTGTGGGATCTGGGAGGGAATTTGGGTGAAGGAGGGAGTCCTGGGGTAGGAGATTGGGGTACAGAAGGGGATGCAGAGTCTGGTGTGACCTGGGATAGAGGCGCAGAGGGTTTGGTTTGTGACCCTGGTGCAGGGAGTTGGGATGTGGGAGAAGGAATAGGTGCCAGGTGCAGACTCTGGCTGGGAGGCACTTACCTTGGGTGGCTCCCATCCAGCGGCCCAGTGGGACCCGCAGGCAGGCTCCCTGCCTGCTGCCCCTCCGCATGCTGTTCACAACTGCCAGCTGCAGGGGCAGCATGCTCTCTGAGTGCTGCACGCTCTTGGCGGGGAGGTCCTCTGTACACACTCTACGCCAGAAGCATGGCCAGTGGAAGCAGTGAGGTGTGCTAGCGGCAGGGGCAGCAGGTGAAGTCCCCCACTCCGGAACGCACAGAGCACATGGCCCCATAGCCCGTTGTTTTGAGCAGCATGCAGGGATGCAGCGAGCCTGCCCAAGGAGGCTCCTGCTGCATTGCAGGAAGGTGGCAGGCTTCTGCCTGCTCCTTGTTTGGGGGGAGGAGGGAGGGTAAAGCTGATGAAAACCTGTGATAAGTAACCTTGAAGTCAGTCTAGTTTAAGTATAGTTCTGGAAGCATTTTATCTTGGCGTTCATTGTTTGAACCATTCATTTTTGATCATTGAAAGATGGGGTAATTCTCATGACTGTGAAGGAAACAAGAGTTTGAGAAGGGGTAATGTGGAGATTAGATGCTTGTCCACATGAAGACTGTCATGTGGCAGAACTGAAGGATGTGTGATTTTCCTAACAGCTCAGCTGCTGGCTTTTTGTTTTTCTGAACAAAATTTCTGAAATTAACAATATGAAAAGAATTCATGGAAAATTACTCCCAAAATAGCATCCTGTGATCAGAGTAACCACTTATATACTTTTTTTCCCCTAAATATTGTCTGCTTATCTATTACTTCATACCCAGCATTATTGAAAACAGTCATTTCACTTCCTGAGGGCCAAAAAAAGCAACACCAGGCTACTTTTTCATTTCATTTGGGGATACAGCAATATGAGGAGTTAGTCCTCAAACATCAGGACAAGCCTTGTTATAATTATAAAATTGTGCCTAACATTTTTTTATTATTTTTTACACTTGTTCTCACTACTTTCTTCATATTTAGTGGTAATAGAGTGATCAGGTAGAAAAAATATTAATAGATTTAAAGATAGAATCTGCTTAGTTATCTGGGGAAGTGACACAACTGGAATATTGTAGGTTGCTACTGCTCAGAAGTCTGAGATTCATGCTAGCTGATTTTTATAAGGTTTTGCCACCTGGAAAAGATCATTGTAAAATGTTTTGTTTTGTTTGATCCTCCTTTTACAGATTATTACATTAGTTGACCATTGGGGTTTGAAAACTAATGAAAATATAGAAATCCACCAGAGTTTTTAAGTAACAATTATAGAAATAGCAATATTTCAGTCCTCAGATTTCTTTGACTTCAAGTGAGGAATAAAACACAATTTTCTCTAAAATTTGGAAAAGCAAGGCCGTATGGCAAATCACCAAGTATTGTATATAAAGTCTATTTGTATACTAATTTCTTCACATGAAGGGCAAACATGAATAGAGATATAACAAAGACATTAGGGCTCCGTCTAAACTACATCCCTTTTTCAGTAAACGGATGTAAATTAGGCACGTCGATATTGCAAATGAAGCCGGGATTTAAATATCTTGTGCTTCATTTGCATAATGGCAGTCGCCGCTTTTTTTGCCCTGCCCTAGGGCAGTCGTTTCCAAACTGTTTTACACTGAGAACTGGCAAACCCATTCACAAACTTTTGGCAGTAACATTTTATTTGCATATTCATATGGTAATTAATTTTAAGAGGTCACCGTGCTACTTTAAATTGCATCTGTACACACACAATACATGTCCTTGGATCAGAGTTTGCAGATATCTACAACACTAAAAAAAAATCTGTTAAGATAAGAAAGGAAAGGGTTCTTTTAAGCCATTAAGACCTATGTAAACTTTGTTTGAAATGTAATCATGCAGGTGTCATGTGCTAAGCCTTTTGTTTTCAAAAGTACCTTAAAGCTTTTAACCCACCTGAAATTTTACTGCCCCAGTCCAGAGAGTCATGTCTGCAGCCCAGCCAGGGCTGCTGTGTTGAGACAGTCTGGCTCTTGGTACCTGCAGCCAAGATGGGAGCAAGTTAAAACACCCCAAACAAATGCCCCTTTCCCCCCACCTCACTGCATAGACACCAGCACCTTCCCCCCCCCCCTGCCACTAACCCCTGTGCAATCTGCTCCAGCCCAGCACAAGAAAAAATGCTGTCTGCAGCCCAGCCAGGGTTGCTGTGCTGAGACAAACAGGGTTTGACTCTTGCTGCCTGCAGCCCAGAGGGAAATGAGTCACCCCAAACTCCCTACTGTCCCCGCCTCACTGCACAGACTCCAGCACTGCCCCTCATTTCCCCAACCTACCCCACGCAGACTGCTACCTCTCTCCCAGAGCAGGAAGCTAAAGGATCATGCTGGGTTTCCCCACAGGAAGCTGCAGGCAAACCCAGCTGCTGTAATCCGATCGCTGTAATTAAATTTTTCCTCTCCCACACTTACTGCACACTCCAAACTCCCCTTTCCTCTGCTTCCCCCGCCTCCCCCCCCCTTGCCAGCCATTCACTCACTCCTTCCTTCTTTTTTCCTTTTGTCCCCTTCCCTACCAGCATGCTTGTTGTCTGGAATAGGGCACTTCTCCTGCTGAGAGAGTGCTCCTCCCCAGCCAGAAGCTCTCTGCTCTGCAGCCCCAAACCTCTGGCAGCCTACAGGGAACTTAGATTCCTGCCAAGCCAATCATCAAGGTGCGGGTGTGGCCTGGCAGTGTGCTGCGGCCTGGCACCTGTCTGCAGGCTGGAGATAGGAAACCATTGCATTAGGGGACCCAAGTACGGTTGTTGCCAGATGGTTTCAACAAAAATACCAGACACTCTTGACATTACATCACAATCTACATTACATCTTATTTAGAAAATACCAGACATTTCTATTTTCTCATTTATATTTTCTCAATTTGTTTCCCGAACAGAAAGCTCAAATACTGGACTATCCAGTTCAAAACCGGATACCTGGCAACCTTAGACCCAAGAACCTGTCCGTTTTTGAATTAATCTATAACTGTTCACTATCCTACTGTGTGTGATAGGATATCATTTTTGTATGTGTATTCATGCTATCAGTATTGCCAGGGGGGTAAAACCCTGATTGGGTATACTTGAAGACTTATTACACTGTATTTGTGTTTAATTTTTTTTGTCAGAAGAGTGTACCTCATTTCAGGGGGGAAAAAAATGTCTGTAGTAAGCCAGTGGCAATTAGCAGTAAGAACATATGAATGGAATTACTTTATATTCACATTTCCTCACCAAAAAATGTGGAGCTACTATTTACAAATAGAAGGTGCTTCTCACATTTGTATTAGTAAATAGTAGCTCCACATTTTTTTTGGTTAGGAAATGTGAATAGAAAGTAACTCCATCCACATGCTGTTTAAATTTACAATTAACATATAGTATCTTGTGCTCTGATCTGCAGTACTAGAATCAGAACAACTATCACTGGCTTTAAATTCTGGATCCACACAGTATTGTGCCTGCTTGGTTTACAATTTAATTTTCTTTAACATCAAAGCCTAATTTTAATGTAGAATCATAGGGTTGGAAGAGACCTCAGGAGGTGGTCATGTCCAGACTCCTTCCCAAAGCAGGACCAATCCCAACTAAATCATCCCAATCAGGGCTTTGTCAAGCCGGGACTTAAAAACCTCTAGGGATGGAGATTCCACCACCTCCTTAGGTAACCCATTCCAGTATTTTACCACCCTCCTAGGGAAATAGTTTTTCCCAATATCCAACCTAGACTTCCCCCACTGTAACTTGAGACCATTGCTCTTTGTTCTGCCATTTGTCACTACTGAGAACAGCCTCTTTCTATCCTCTTTGTAACCTCCCTTCAGGAAGTTGAAGGCTGCTATCAAATCCCCCCTCACTCTTCGCTTCTGCAGCCCAAATAAACCCAAATCCCTCCACCTCTCCTCATAGGTTATGTGCTTCAGCCCCCTAATCATTTTGGTTGCCCTCTGCTGGACCCTCTTCAATGTGTCCACATCCTTTCTATAATGGGGGCCCCAGATCTGGATGCAATACTCCAGATGTGGCCTGACCAGAGCCGAATAAAGGGAATAATCACTTCTCCAAATTTGCTGGCATTGTTCCTCGTAATGCAACCTAATATGCCATTCGCCTTCTTGGCTACAAGGGCACACTGTTTACTCCTATTTAGCTTCTCATCCACTGTAATCCCCAGGTCCTTTTCTGCCAAACTGCTACTTAGACATTCAGTCCCCAGCCTGTAACAATGTGTGGGAGTCTTCTGTCCCCATTGCAAGACTCTATGCTTGTCCTTGTTGAACCTCATCAGATTTCTTTTGGCCCAATCCTCTAATCTGTCTAGGTCACTCTGGAGTGATCTTTTCCAAAGTAGCTTTTTCTAAGTAGCTTTGGCTAGGACTCTTGTGCTAAATGTTCTCTCCATTTTTAACAGTCTTCTTGCAATAATTTATCTTTTTAGATCTTTAAAGCTAGGCCCTTTTTTATAAACCCAAGTGGATAAAACCTTGAAATTCATCATATTTAAAACCTTTCTGGAACTGTGGGTGAAGAAAATCATCTGAAGAAGTACCAGTACTTATATTCTATTGTGGCATAAAAAAAATTACAGTGGTTACTTTGAAGGTGTTAAAATAGGGATGGAATTTAGGAGAGAATAAGACCAACAGTTGACTACACAGACAAACTGTTTATATAGTAGGTTTACAGGAACCTCGCATCTCAAACTATAAAGTAGAGGCACATTTTCCCCTCTTTTCCCATTTAAGGTAAAGTACTCTTCTTTTTACATGCATTTCATAGCGTGAAATAAAAATCCAAAATAAAGCTAATTCTTCCCTTGTGCCAACAATGATCAGATGTGATCTGTTTAATGTAATACTTAGATACAATAAAATAGTTTCAACTTTACCTATTAATTTTTGTGACTCAAAAGTTCTGCACTTAAAGTTCTGCATTGAGTTCTGCATATTGCAAGCACAACGTTAAACAATTATTACAAATAATAAATCTTTGACATGGTTTAAACCATCTGAGCATTTTGTTTGTACCTGGAAGAGTCTACACACGTGGCCACTTTTGGAATATGATCAGAACTGTTTTTGCATTGGATGATCTTATTGGATGATTAAGACTGAGCTCTTATGATACTGGACACACTTTTTTCCAAGATGACCTTTTGCCATTTTATACTTTAACTTATTTTGTTGGTACTGTACCCATGTATTGTTCAGACTGCCTGAGAGAACCAACCATTAGTTTTCCAGCAACTCTTGTAAAAGCGTTCGCTGCATTTCATTATTACCTAATTGATCTAAGCTAAAAGTTCTTAAATAGAATGCCCTAACACCTCTTTGCCCTTGCTAACAAATGGTTTGAACACTTTTGTTTAAAAGTTGTAATGTGAGCTTAAATTGTTTCCTTAGCATATTTTATCACCATATTTCAAAAGCTACAGTTTTGACCGGTACTAGGCCCTAAGTTTTTCAGGCATGTAGAAGTGTAATTTCCATTGATGTTCATGCAGGAATTTGGCTGTGTGATGCCCATGAATAAAATTCAAAACTGTGTTTGAGGTTTCATTTAGTTTTCAGATGGCTTTTAATGTGTGGGTTTAATAGAAATTTCCAGTAGAGATCTGTAACAGCTGGAATACACATACGTTATGGGGCCAGAGAAACCCTAACATCTGAACCAAAGTGAACAAATTTGAAATAGTTTCTAACAGCAGTCATATACATACAGTAGAACCTCAGAGTTGCAAATACCTCTGGAATGGACCTTCATAGCTCTGAAAAGTTTGTAACTGAATAAAACATTATGGTGGTTCTTTCAAAAGTTTACACCTGAACATTGACTTAATAAATTTTTGAAACTTTACTATAAAAGAAGAAAAATGCTGCTTTTCCTTTATTTTTTAATAGTTTAATGCAGTACTGAATATGTGCTTTTTTTGGTCTTGTCAGTTGTTTCTGCTGTTGCTTGAATGTGCACTTTAATTCCAAATGGGGTGTGGTATTGACTGGTCTGTTCATAACTCTAGTGTTTGTAATTCTGAAGTTCTACTGTATATACACTTAGGTGCCAAACATCCAAAACTAATTTAAAATAATGTAAAAAAACCAAACAAAACCTGACATAATAAATGCAGGATGTCTTTTTCCCTCTCTAATTTGCCCAAATTATATGAATTTAATATTTATTCCAAATATATACACCAAAAGCTCTCATTCAAAGAGATTGTAAATTCCTTTCTTTGGTGGAAGAGAGTGGGATAAAAGTACTGTGGTGGATAGGACAACTGCTGGCCAACATTCAGTGACTAAAGGGTTAAACTTAGGTAGCTAGGGAGCCAGGGGAACCAACAGGAGAAGGCACTGAAACTTGAATTGGAAGATATACCTGCCTGGTTTTATTTCCTTTTGTGTGAGTTTTAAGCCAGGAATTGGGGGAACAAGATGAATTGAATCAGGCAATGCTCTCTTCCTGTGTCCAAGAAGAAGGGATTTTTCACTTGATGAAGCAGCCTATCTCCCAAAGCCAGGGAATCGTCTTCCTGTGTCCAAGAAGAAGGGACTTTTCACTTGATGAAGCAGCCTATCTCTCAAAGCCAGGGAATCTGTGACCTTGGGAAAAAATTTTAAGCAGAAGCTAGTGGCAAGGTATTTTTCAGGTATCTTGTAGGCCCCCACCTTCTGCACTTGGAGTGCCAGAGTGGGGAACAGCCTTGACAAGTACACATGAGGATTTTCCCCTGCTTACACATACAAAGGGGTGGTGATCAAATGTTTCCCTGGACCCTAGCAGTTACTGTAAGGCTGAGATTGACTGAGTAAGGGACACACAAGAGTCAGGTTGGGCCAGGAGCTTATAACAACATGTAGAATACCCTTAAGAGTTCTCACAGACTGAAGTAGCTCCTCTTCTCCCTCCTGTGGAGCTCATCAGGGACTTTCTCAGGGATGACAGCTGTCAAGAGATGCTACATCAGTGTCACCCTAAAGCAGGGGTGGGGAACTTTTTTTGGGGTCGGGACTGCTGACCCACAGAAAAATCAATTCCACATCAGTGTCACCCTAAAACAGGGGTGGGGAACTTTTTTTGGGGTCGGGACTGCTGACCCACAGAAAAATCAATTGGGAAGGGGGGGGCGCACACAAGTGAGAAGCAAAAAACAAACGAAAGACACACAAAACCCTCCCTGAGCGAAGTCCCCGACTGAGAAAGACAAAGACATTCTCCACATCATTTTGCCTGCACACCAAAGCCTGGAGAGGCCCAGGTTCCAGCCTTGAGGAGGGATGGTAGGGGGCACTGGAGCACCAACATGGGCTCCCCAGGGCTGGGGGAGAGCCCCGAGTCTTGGAAGCTGGATTTAGACAAGCTGGGGGCTGAGTCTGGCCCACAGGCTTTAGACTCCCCACTTCTGCTCTAGGAGGAGAGAAATGCTCAAGGCCTAAGACTGGGACCCTGATAAATGACTTTTTTCTTATTTGCTGCTTGTTTGAAGGAGAAATCATGCTTCACTGCAAGATTAAATCTGTATAAAGTGGGTTGCGTATATTCTTATGTGAGTTATGTAAAAATTTCATTTGACTTTTTTTTTAGAGACATATCAACAGTAATACTACTTAAATCATGTTTCATCATAAATGTTAATATTCCTTTCTGATCTTGAATCAAAGCTTTAACAGACAAGTATTTGTTCACATTACAAGACGGGAGTAAACACCTAGCATTCCAATGCCCTGACAATGCAAGCTTGCATTCCAAAGGCCTATTCTACCCTAATGTAATAGTCTGTCATTTACACTTTTTCTTAAGTCATTAAAGATAGGCTGAATG